TGCCTTTAAACTGCCCGCTATTAGAACTACCACATGTTTGAAAAACCTTATCATCTTTAATCAAATAATGTCCTTTTGCACCTGAAGAGTCGCCCCTCAAGATGTTATAAAAAAGGACTAGGACTCAGGAGAAATCATGAGCCAACTGATCGGCTCACCAGCCGATTTTCAGCACTGAGAGTCTCACCCCTGATTTTTATTTACACCGCGACCCGGCTTCTCTGCCACTGAGATCTACCAGAATTTCTTCGTGACGTTCCGTGTTCTTCACATCTTACAAACAAGTAAGGACTCTTTGAAGAGATTCTGATTAAGACGTTCTGAGAGGGAAAAAAGGTAATAGCAAGAGGGAGGTAGTTTGAGAATATTTCCGAAAATATCCTCCGTGTCTTGTGACTTCGTGGATTATCACCTGGACATAAATCAGACAGTCTCTCCTTGCAGTTAGAAACAAGCAGGTAGGGCGTAAGCACCCCTGGTCGGTGGGAGGAAGGACGCGGGAGGCACTGAAGCCCAGGTCTGCTTCCTGCAGAACCCACAGGACCCCTGAAGCCCGCAGCCCAGGCTGGCGGAGGAGAGGACCCCACACACGGAGGACACCGTTTCCCATCCCTGGAAGGAGGACAGTTAAGTCGCATGCGGCAGACATTCAATGGATGTTGGCTGAATGGTCCAAGGGAAGCGAGTGGGATAAGGCAAAGGCAGAGGAGTGAGTGTGGCTACCTCTTACCCTTTTCCTAGTTTAAGGGGCGGTAAACACAGAAATTGAATCCTGCTTGCCCTGGCCATCTCCACCCCCTCCCCAACGCCCAGAAGTGGTCTTGAAGAATCTGCTCGTTTTGGAAATAAAGAGATGGAGAGGAGGTAAGGGAAGCAAGATTCTAAGAGACACTTTTTAGTTTCTTTCTTAAAATATATGTAGGGGAAAACATGAAAATGGAAGAAAATAGATGAATTTTACAAAACAACATATTTGGGGCGCCTGGGTGGCTCAGTCGTTAAGCGTCTGCCTTCGGCTCAGGTCATGGTCCCAGGGTCCTGGGATCGAGCCCCACATCGGGCTCCCTGCTCCGCAGGAAGCCTGCTTCTCCCTCTCCCACTCCCTCTGCTTGTGTTCCCTATCTTGCTATATCTCTCTCTAATAAATAAATAAAATCTTTAAAAAAAATATTCAATTGGTGTTAAAAATGTAATTAAAACAATTCTAATGACTCTCTTCTTGATCATCTACTGCCAAATGTGTACTGCTTTGAATTCAGCAAGCGACGGGCCCTGGATTCGACTTGGCGTGGTAGGCTTAGCGTCTAGAATTCTGTGCACTCTGTCACAGTAATGACAGCTCAGTTACAGAAAGTCCATATGGTGGATAACCTGGGAACGCCAGAATCTGGGGGCAGGGGGAACAGGACTTAAACTCTCAAACAGAATCGGGAAGTGAAATGTCCCGACCTTTTTAGGATTTACAATCACCTTGCTAGCTCCTGGTGGACTCCAGGGCAGGGATTTCCTCTCAGTCACCCTTGTACTTACTATAGAAATACTCAGGGCAGCACTTTGAAAACAGCAGACGCATGTTTACCAGACTGAATGAGTTGGCATGGAAGTGCCGGCATGAGCACAGTAATGTGGCAGCGCCATTTGTCTCTTAATTAGACCTTCTTTAAAGGCCTTTTCAACAACACTCTTTGATTTCCACTTACCCCTGTTCCTTCTGTCACAGATGCATGATATATGGGGCAGCTCATTTCCTTATTTCTCACTTAAAGTACAAACAAAACCCTTAGGTTTTTTTGGGCTGTGGAAATGTACGTTGCAAATACTAAGAAAGTACATCGGGTAACAGACTATAGGACTGCTTAGTACACAGTAAGATCTAAAGTAAGAATGATTAAGCTGCGGACACGGAATATAGCCACCATTTAGAAATGTCCTTATTCTAGGCAACGAGTGGAGTCATCCCATGGGGCAGATCACTCACACCTCCTTCATTTAAAAGTTTTACATATTATTTGTAGCCTCAATAGGCCCCCCTGATTGATTCTGATCTATGGACAGTTCTAACCAGTATGTTAAATAATAATTAGTTTGGGCATATTGGCATAGATCTCTTCTTTGGGGAATTGATTTCAACATCAGTAGTATAACTTTTTTTTTAATAAAGGAGTGTAAACTCTAAAGGATTTCCCCCTTCCTTCCTGCATTTATCACAAAGAAAGTTTACTGCTAAATCATACATAAATTTTAAGACAATGTAACCCAAACACATCAATAAGGGCTTTTGTCAAAGCACAAACAAGGGTCTTCAGCACTAATAAACCAAGAAAAATTTCTCCAAATTCAAAAATCTCAAACATCCTTACTTATTTAAAAGATCATTCAGCTGAACAAATATATAAAATTCTCTACTAGAACATGAAAGTGTTCACTGAACAAAAGCTTTCCCATTAGACTATATTCATATATAGCAGCTTTACATATATGTATATAATGATATATATGTGTGTGGATATATATCATTAAGCATTTGTTGTCTGTAGGAAAACCACTGATTTAAAAAAAAAATCTCGGCCTAGAAATAGCTACTAAGACAATTTCATCAACTCACACTATTCAACTGCATTTCAAAACATCAAGAGAGTGACATTTGCACAAAATCTCAATGGAAAGAACTGAAAACAGTAAAGAAAGCAACAATTCCCCCCAATGGTTAAAAGTACACACACACAGACTCAATTCATAATGTAAAGCAACCTGATGGGGACAGCTGCAGGACACTCTACAGACTAATCATTAACCATCCAATTATACTCCCATTCTAGAGTAAAAACAGGAGTTAAAATCTCTTTGGTCCACACATTGATGGATTTAATGTGTCCAGGTTATTTTCCAGCTAATTTTGGATTCTAAACCATGTGCTCCATATTCCCGTACCATGATAACTTTCATAAATCATGAAACAACCATATGTTAAAATAAATATTCATATCGTAGATCTGAAACAATGTGAACACATTATTGGCAACTCCTCTCAAAGAATATGAACACTTGAAATTACCAGTAGAAGAGCCAAAGTAAAGGAAGAACACAATTCAAGTCTAAAAGTAAAGGAGAAATCAAATGGACTTGGAAAATTTATGCCTAAATTTAATTTGGGAAAACATCAGGAACATAAAGAACACATGAAAAAAATTTTAGGCTTGTATACAATAAAAGGAATCAATTTTAAGATTTACTTCAAAAATCTCCAGGGATGCATAGTTGCTTAATTGTGTCTTTAAAAACAGATTTCCAAGCCACAGCATTAGTAAACCCCCAGAAATGGCTTCCATACTGGTAAAAGTATCCCTTTCCCCAAGTCCCTATTTTTGCGTCACTGAAACACATTCTGCTTTTCAGTGGAGAAAAAGTGGTGTGGGTAATGAAGGCCTTAAATTTGAATGGGATCTAATAGAAACCTACTTTTTACCAAATCGGGTCATAAAACAGTGAGGCTAGAGTATGCAGATTATCTTTTGGACTGCCCTTAACTTCATATTTTCTGCAGTGGCTTTTTGAGTTAGCACATTTATAAGAGGACCTGGTATTTAAAACAATCTCAGTAGGAGACAAATTCAACCAAGTTCTGTTTCCCTTGCTCCTTGCACTCTTAAAAACAATTGCATCTTGCCAAAACCTCTTAAAATGTTGTATTAACTAAGGATTTTTCATTCTAATAAATGTCATCACTGATTCTAGGAAACTTAACAGCGCAAATCGAGAACCAAATAACGGAATCACTTTAATATATGTTCAGTACTGTACTGATATGCTGAGATTAACTGCCAAATTTTTAAATTACTTCTTATATTCCCCAATTTCTACTTAGTGAAATTATGTTACCACATGCCCAATGTAATGTAATTACTCTTCTTATATAACTTACTTGTTACTTATCTACAAATGAGGCTCTTTGTTTTCACAGCCTAATTTAGGCCACTCTTTAAATATAGGTAATACCCCAGAATGAAAGATTGTTTATGTTTTGTCAAAAATCAAGATATATGCAACAAGTAATATAATCCCACCAAAATACTAGTTATAAAGATACTTTCTCCATGAGATACATGGCAAAAACTTTCTTTAGAAGGGTCAAAGAATGCAACATGCATTTCAGACTTCTTTTCTTACAAAGTTTATAAGAAAATTTTCAAATTATATTTTTATGACACACAAACTACAGTCAATGTGTGTGACCCATAAAGTTTTTGAATTCGTATCCATAGAATAGTTACGTAGGAGGGAAACTACTAAAAGAGTGTTATTGAAGTGAGTGGAAAAGATGCACCCTACGGGTCTACTCTGAGTCCTTAAAAGAGTTTAGCTAGTTTTCCATTAAGTATTATTTTCCACATAAATTAAAGTAAATAACAATAATGCCTAAACATATTAAAGCCCTAAATCCCAGAAATGTTCAACATTAAAAACCAAATAGTTTACCTCAGATTCAGTGATTCGGTGTTCAGCACTCATACGGGATTTAGCGTCACAAAACAAAAATCTCACTACGTTACCTGAATTCATGTCAAATATGGTTCACAGCACTCATCTACATCTACACTTGCAAATTGTCACATGATCCATGTTAAAAAAAAGAGAGAGAGAAGAGTTTGGCACATATATCAATTCCTCAAAACGTCCCTGTAACTTAACACAACACTGTTAAGAACGATGAGTCAACACCAGTGTTAACCTGATTGGCAGCTAAGCAAGGTGCTTCTTCCTGTAGCTTCCCGTCTTGTGATGCGCCTGGCCCGGGACCGAGGCACGTTAAGGTGCAGTGCGGTAGTGCAATCACTTGGACACCAGAGGGCGATCTTTGCACACAGCTCAAGGCCTTCAGCTGCGCCCTGCTCCTCCCACGTTCTCCTCGTACGGTTTCATTCCCGCTCCTTCACAACGCCGTGTTCTGAGAATCTGTACATCTGTTTCCTTATGTGAAGTAAGACATTCCCACCGAAAGCTCAGAGTGTGGCGAGGATCCTTGAGAAGGAGATGATTAATGTCAATACAGTCTGTCCCACGCCCCACACCAGCGCCTCCAGGGGGGCCATGTTCTTCCCTGCGACTCGGTAGATGCCCGCGACTGCTGCGCCTGGATGAGAAGGGACAGAGAAACAAACCAACACGTTCATTCCCTTCGCAACACGCTGCACCGTGGGGACGTCAGATCGCTTTTCATCTCAGCACCCCAGAGTCCTCCATCATGCTCATCTTCTAAACTGTCCACGGAAGTTTCCGTGTGATCGGTACAAGTCACACTTGACCACATCACTTCACTGAAAGACAGGCTTTGCTATTCAGCTGCAAAATACATATTTACAGTACATGCTGTTTACTTGACACCAAACATGTTCATAAACCATGAATAATTTGTTATTGTAATCTCTCACCTGGGCGTTGAATTGGACAGACAAAACAAACATGTCTGTTTTTGTAAACATACAACTCAACATACTGATAACTATAAATGAAAATACAGAAAACTACACAATTTAATGCAGTTTCTAAATTATTCAAGTAATTTTTAAAAAATTAATTCTTAAATGTGATATAAAGTATCAGAATAGTTGACTACTACATTTCAGAATCTACCATATAAAGTAGTTTACTATGTCTTTTTAATAAAGCATACAACCATAAAGTTATTTAGAGACTAGTATCTTGACATCTAATAAAAATGGAAGATGCACCTGACATCTGTTCTGGGAAAAATGTTTAGATCATGCACACTTCTGAGAATTCGAGAATCCCAGAGTTACAGGAGTCTCAGAGCCCATCTGATTCAACACTTCACCTTATTAATATACTATATATACTGAAACATTTAAATTAGAGTACACTTCTCCAGCACTAAGTTTTCAAAAATGATCCAAGAAGTGGAAAATCTAAGCACTTACTAGCTCAGGCTTCCTAGGAAATGGTAAGCAAATGTGTCAAGTCAAACATCTCATGCTCATATGAGGTGAAGAGCATGGGTTTTGGAGCCAGACTTGCGGATCAAACTCTGAAATCCACTCCCTAGCAGATGTGCTACAAGGGACAATCACTTAACCTCTCTGTGCCTTATTTCCTCAACTGTAAAATGGGTGGGAATGAAGATGAAGAGTGACTGGTCCTAGTATGCACTCTGAATTTTGGCTAAGAGTTGTAATCATAGTAAATGAGAAAGGTATTTCCAATCAGTGATTCAGCATTCAGTAAATGGTGTTGGAACAATGAGCAGCCATTGGAAGGAATAAATCTAGGTCCCTACTTCACATCACTCCCCAGAATAAATTTCAGATGGGTTAAAGAACAAAATGTTAAAAACAAAGCTATAAATGTAAACTTTAAAACAGAAGAGAATATATCTATGATCTTAGGAAAAGAGGACTGCACAAAAAAGAGCAAAACCCCTAAAGGGACAGACGAGAAAAACACTTGATCCATGTCCAGAGGACACACACACACATATATACACATATAACCAAGGCAGGACTTATTGTAGTAGCAAAAAACAAAAACAAAACACCAAAAGTCAAAAGCAAGAAGCCAATATACTTCAGTGTGGAGTGTGTAAACTATATCAAGCCCACACTATGAAACCCATACAATTTCAAAAGAAAAATAAAAACCTTATGAACAGAAAGAACCTAAGACATTATTTATGCAACAAAGAAAATGAAACCTAAAACTATATATATTCTCTACTAGTACATGCATCCATTGTATGCATGTGTGCATGTATGTAAACATTTATATATGTAAAAATGAATGAATGTAATATTCATATGTACATACAATCTGGGGGCATATAAGCCAAACTGAAAATAGGGATTACAACTGAGAAGAGCACCAGTTTGGCAGTGCTAGTCCAAAGAGACCTTTGCCTTATCCATAATGTTTTGCATTTTACAAGGAGAATATGCAATCATATATTACTTATGTAATTAAAATTAATTTTAAAAATCTAACAATTTCCACACCAACTTGCCTATACTTCTCTATAATTCCAAGAAACTTTCATCTTCAAGGTCAGAATATCTTTCAATCCTCTTTTCCAAACTAAAATACTTGTATATAATAACAAAGTTCACTGAACTCTTGATATAAAATAGTAAGGAATAAATTATACTTTAAGCTAGGTAGCAAATGCTCGTAGAATAAGAAAAATTGTGTACATGTTCAATGTCAAGTGTTTCCTACGTGACTAAAAGAGGTGGTGCTTATATTTAGTATTTCTGTGCCTCTGAAGTTCAGGGTGGGGTTCTTTGGCTGGAGATGGAGGGCCCAGGAAAGCATGTTTTGGGCATCTCCTGTAGGGGTTTAGAATTTAATGAAGGTCAGGAGCCATAGAGACACACCCGAAGAGACAAGTGAAAGGGAATAAGAAAAAGATTTAAGGAACAGAAAATGAGTACTGAGAACCTTTCCACTCTACTGTCGTCTTCTTTCCCAAATAAGCTGACTCCTTTATTGAGTATTTGGCTGGTCTGGTGATTAAAATGGATTTCACACTGGAAGGCCCTGATGTTCAAGGGAAAACAAACAAAACTACTAAATAACCCATTCTTCTTTAAAATCTTTCAAGGAACAGAGGACAAGCCCTTCAAGCCTATATAGTGTTAGACAGAAAATAAAACAAACCACCGTTTTCTTTCCAGTGGATAATGAGTTAGGAAACAATTCAGAAGTTACAACTTCCCTCCAAAAGAAGTAGATTTACAGAAGTCCCCACTGCCTTGTAGAATCTCACACCCAGAAGCACTGGTCAGAAAAGAGTGTACCAGTGGAACTCTCAATCTAAAAGATCTGCAAAAAAACAATTTCGTGTGCCTAAGAAATGAATTTGGAAGTACTGCTACTGAATATTGAGCAGATATGAAAGAGTATTTATAAAAATATATGTAGAGGCTCCTCGGTGGCTCAGTCGGTTAAGTGTCTGACTCTTGGTCTTGACTCGGATCATAATCTCAGGGTTGTGGGATCCAGCCCCCACGTCGTACTCCATGCTCAGTGTGGAGCCAGCTTGGGGTTCTCCCTCCCTCTCCCTCAGCCCCTCCCCACCAAATAAATAAATCTTTAAAATATACATATATTATATATATATATATATCTAGATTATAAAATGACAACAAATTCCCAAGTACCATCATCCAACTGAAGAGAAGAATATCACTATTTCCTTTGAAATTCCTGTGGACTCTGCTCAATCATATCCCATTCCTTCCTTGAATTTGTTTTTCATCATTCCCTTGCTTTTTGTCAGCTTTACCACCTTCATGTATCCTAAAAATATATATTATTTGGTTTTTTAAATAAATCAATTTTATGTAAATTGACACTATAAGCATTCTGGAATTTGGTTCAATATCATAGGTCTGGAAAGCTACCCACGTTGTTGTATGTAGCTGTAATTCATACATTTTTACTACTGCATAGAATTCTAAGCATGAATATACCACAATTTATCCATTCTACTGCCAATAACATTTATTTCCAATCCTCAACAATGACAAACACTGATTCTATGAATATCCTTGTGCATGACCCCTGGCCCACATACACAGTCAAAAATTTCTCTTCAATACTTGGGTAAAAGTAGAACTGCTCAGTCTTATGTTATGGGCATTTTCAACTTTACTAAGTAATGCCAAACTGTCTTTCAAAGTAGTTGAACCAATTTATATTCCAGTTACTCCATTATCTTCAGAAGCAGTTGGTATCTTTTTTTTTTTTTAATTTTTCTCAATCTGATAAGTAAGAGATGTCATCTCTGTGATCAATTTACATTTCCCCGAATTAATGTAACTGAACTTTTCTTCACATATTAAGAGGTCAGGAGGGTTTTCTACTTTTATGAAATGCTTGTCAAATCTTTTGTCCTTTTTTCTATTGAGTTTTCTTCTTATTATTTAATTCATAGGGTTTTTAAAATATGGTTTGGGTATTAATCTTTTTATATTTATATATGTTCACAAATGTCTTCCCTCCAATTTTTGCTTTAGTTTTCCATCTCTCTACAGTATATTTTGCTGAACTTGCCAGATGAAAGACCACAAATATTATGGTCTTTATTTTTTTGGTGAAATACTCAGCTAAGTTATGCAAGAACGAAGAAGACCCAAGTGGAACAGGATGCTTGAAATAAATGCTGCATGTCTGGAATCCCCACTACCCACAAAGGCAGAAAGAATCACTTAGAAATAAGCGAAGCACTCCCAAGGACCGAGGGACTAGCAAATGCTGGCGTAGTGAGGACGACAGGGAGAAAGCAACACTGATGAGCTGACGTGATGTTAGTGAAAGATATGAATCTACAAGGCTAGAAGAAGAGCCACCAGTGGACGAAAGATGTCAATATACAGCGACACACCAAAGAAAGCGATCTGATTTGCCCTCCATATTTCCTGAGAGAAAGTAGATGCGAAGCCTAAGGCAGGTTTGGTTTTAACCGTGTTGGTTCTATCAGCCTGTGTGGTCAGAGGAGGGGCCAGCGAGTTGTGGTCCACAGATCCAACCTGCATACCACATCACACGGACATGGCACAGGAGTGAAGAATGGTTTTTACATTTTTAAATGGTTTTTTAAAAATCAAAAGAAGAATACTTCATGATACATGAAAATTTTACAAAATTTAAATTTCAGTTTCCATAAATAACGTTTTATTGGCATACAGCCACAGTCATGTCTGATCCTGAATTATCTTTGCATTCCTAGGGTAACACTCAAAAGGTAAATGAGCCTATACTTTTCCGCTCCTGCGCGGTCTTTTTCTTGCTTAACAAGATTACTTTGGCCTCAGCAAATAAGCTGTGCACGGCTTTTACTCTTTCCATTTCCTCAATAATTTGAATAAAACAGGAACTAAATCGCTTCTTCAAAATTTGGTAGAACTCATCTGTAAACTCCATTTGAGCCTGGAGTTCCTTTGGGAGGGGAGGGTCTTCAACATTTCAATTGTTTAAATATACTTATTGTCCTATTCATATTTTGTTTCTTCTTATGCCAATTTTGACATTTTATACTTAGGAATATATCCCTGTTCACAAAACTGTTATTTTTTAGAATTCTTTATTCTATCTCTATTATTGGGTCTGTATTTATTCTATTTTTTCCTATAATTTTCTGACTTAACTTTGTATTAAAAATTAGTTTGCCAGCAATCTATTCATCTTAGTATCTTTCCAAAGAACCAGTCTTTTGCTTTATCTTTCATAGACTCAACTCAGAAAAGTGAACAGTGTTTCTCTACACCTAATAAATAAAAACTAACCAATGTCTAATAAGTCTAACCAATGTCTAATAAAACTAACCAATGTCATTGGAAGATACCATGCGCAACAACCATGACAGAGTTCAAGAATTAACCAAAAATATACAACCCTCTTGTTGAGAAAGACATTTTTAAACTCTAAAGAAAGATACAGAAGATGATCTGAAGACATGGAAATCTAATACATGTTCTTGGGTAGAATAGTTTACTATGCCAGTTCTTCCCAAATTAACCTCTCCATTCAATTAAATCCCAATAAAAATCAGTTATACTTTTTGAGAAACTGTTCTAAAATCTTTGTGAAAGAATAAGAGCCAATAAACAGCTTTGCTAACTTTGAGAAAGAAATGAGAGGAATCTAGCCCAACCAGGTATTAAGAAATACCAAAAAAACCACGGGGATTAAAAAAAGTGAACTTGCTGCAAGGACACATAAAAAAACTAACAAATAAGCACAGGGTTCAGAGACAGATCCTCGTGCCTTGAGCATAATATGCAAACAAGGTGAATCAATGAGGAAATGATGGGTGTTTTTAGTGGATGGTGTGGTCAAAACTGACTTATTACGTGTGAAGAAAAATAAATACACCTGGAATCCTATCTAATAATACCAAATACAAAGTTAGACTCTAGACCAGGCCACAAATCAGGAATTTATGAAATTATGCCTGAATGCTAGATCCCTGTTTTTATAAATAAAGTTTTATTGGAAAAAGTTATGCCTATTCATTTACACACATCTATACTTGCTTTCACACCACAATGTCAGAGTTGAAGAGCTGTGACAGAGACCACCGGGCTTGCAAAGTTTAACATATTTCCTATCTAGCCCTTCAAGGAAATGTTTGCTGACTCCTGTTCTAGAGGAATTAAAGGCCTTAGTATTAAAGATAAAACTGTAAAATTAACATTAGAAAATATATCAGCATATCTTTTGACCTTGGTGTGGGAGAGAACTTCTTAAATTATAAACCATAAGGCAAAAAACTCTTTGAGCTGATAACATAGAAATTAAGGTTTTCTGCTCAATAGATATCATAGATGATGGTAACTGATAAAAGACTGAGAAGTTATTTGCAAAGTCCAAAACCAACAAGAGACCAATACCTCGAATGTTTAAGAAACCCCTATAATTTAATGAGAAGAAATCAAGAACCCCAAAAGAAAAGTAAGCACATAACTTACAGAAGCAATTTGCAGAGAAAGAAATCTAAATATATAATAAGCATAGGAAGAGATGTTCAAAGTCCTTAGTGATTAGAGAAATGGAAATTAATCCAACAAAGACATAACATTTTATACCTTCAGATTTGCTAAAATTAGTCAGGTATATAATGCCAACTGATGGCACTATACAGACAGCCAGTTTCTCCCAATTTGGTATTAACCATCAATACCAACTAAAATGGAAAATCACTGTATTGGAAATAAAACCTAAGAAGGAGCAAAATATAATAGGTATGTGTCTATATTCAGTCAATATCTTATTCAGAAGAGATATGAAGCAATCTTCTGCAGACTTGAATACATAGTTGTGAGCATACTGACACAAATTGCATTAAGAAATTAAATATAGATAATATAGTCTCATTATGGCTAGTTTTCTTAATTCAAGTGTCTGCAGGTCAAAAGACTAGCCAGAAAAAAATTTTAATTGCTAACCTGGATATGAATTTTTACTTGAAATTATGTCAGACTTATCTTTTTAAGGATTTAAAATATAACACTGTAGTTTCTAAAATCACTGGCTTATTTTATTCTTAGCTGAACTGAAACTAGGTAATATATGTACAAGTGCATCATTAGAGATAAACTGAAGGAGAGTGACATTTCTCCTGCTCTCTGAGCTTTTACAATAATTTCTGCCAACAAATACACATATCCGCACACTACTCACAACTCCTGAGCAGGCTGTTCCTTTTTTCATCCTCTGTTCATGGGTTCACAATTACTGCAGTGGGGCCCATCAAAAACACTGGCAGTCCCTTTCAAGCCTCTCTGTATGCCACCACGGTGAATAAAACTAATTCGGATTGTTTCCTTTTCCCATAGTCCTTACTTCATGTTTAACCACAGCCACTACTCTTGTTCAGCTCCCAGGCTCAAGTTCAGATCACAGGCCAAGGTCTCCTTTCCTCTTCCCTTCCCCAGTTTCTCCCTTCTTCCCTCCCCCGTTTCTTCCTTTCTTTCCTCTGCACCTCCTCCCCTACTCCACCCATCCCTCCAACCAGTATTTTCTGAGTGTCTGTTACGATCCAGGTACTGCTTTATTGTTAGGAATACAGCAGTGGTGAAGACAGACAAGGTCCCTGCGCTTTCAGAGTTTTCTCTTGGTTTTTTTTACATATAACTGTATTCAGCTATTAAAATAAATTTTTCCATTGGCCTGCTTTGTCCCTTGCCAACCCCATTCAAAACGATCTTAACTTGTTTTCCGCGGCCTGCAGGAAAAAAGTCCAAATGTTCTGGCTCACCTTCTAAGACCCTCTAGGATTTGGCTCCACTCTGCCTTTCCAGCAGAATCTCCACCTTCACTATGCATATCCTGTGCTTCGGCTAAACCTGAGTACTCGTTTGAAACCCTATTGATGGCAAAATGGATGAGGTTTTGATAAGCTTGACATGACAGATAAGGTTACAGGCTGCATGCAACAACAACAAAACCTAACACGGAGTGACACGGAAAACCCAAACGGGGAGTGAAGAAAGGATGAAAACACTGATGACTACATGGAAATCTAATAGATGTTCTTGGGTGGAACAGTTTACTATGCCAGTTCTTCCCAAATTAACCTCTCCATGCACTTAAGTCCCAATAAAAATCACAGTTCTACGTCGTCCCACAACTATTTTATGAATGTCCTGTCAGTGTCAGGACAGACACAGAAACGAGGGGACAGGGGTTTTCCTCCCAAGGCAAGGTGTGCCAATCCCTCTGGGAAAAGGTGACTGTCCCACACAAAAGGAGGCCTTGGAACTACAGGGGGAAAAGGACTTACTCTTATCTGGGGGCTAGGAACCAATCAGAAAGGAAGACGTCCTTCTTGTGGCAGCAGTGAGCTGTGCCAGGCCAGAAGAGAATGGCGGCATCAGCCTCCACTAACCTGGCTGTGGGAGAAATCACCAGCAGCATGGAGAAGCAGCTAGAACTGCATCCAGAAAGCGGCCGCAGCACCCTCGGGTCTCAACAGGACGCATCTAAGTCCTGGCTCACCCAACACAGCAGAAACTAGAACCGTCTCTGAACCCCAGGTGGAGTGGGGGCCCCGGTCTAGGGTTAAGAAAAGGCAGAGGGAATGACCCAAGGCCTGTGTGCGGTGCACTTTGGGCAGCACAGGAGACGAGCCGCACACAGCTCGAGGGTACTCTCACGGGGCTGATCTCTAGTAGGTCGGGGGAGATTTGTGCCAGAACAATTTGTGTTTAAGAAGAAAGTGCGATTTTACTTTGTAGACCCAGGCAGATCGCATCGAGGACCTACGGGCTATGTTTTCACTTTTTTTAATGACAATTATCACTGGCAATTTGTGTGCCTACCTCTCTCCCTGACTAGATCGGGAATTCATTTAAAGCAAAAACTATGTCCACTAGAAAGTAAATTTCCCCGTGGATTTCTGCGACCCTTGCCAATTTTTACAAGTTGTTCTATTTCCCACAGAACCTTGCACAACGAGTCTTCACAGAGAAATACAAAAACTATCCGTTCAGTGAGTAAATGAACTGGTCTTTACCTTCCAGGTGAAGAGTGGTCAGTGCTGAAAATATTCTCCGTGGGAGATTACACTAGTGTCACAGTCATCATAAGAATAAAGTGCACATACAATCAGGTCCTTAAACAAAACAAAATCAACTTACTAGTAATCATTGCTCCAGTTACAGAAGCCAGAAATCCGATGCTGACTGCAATGAGAGAGATTACTCTCCCCTGCCTATGCCTCTGCAGCATCACAAACATCAACACGCCCGCAGCACCATGGACAAACAGAGAGGAGAAGAGAGCCCACAGAAAGATCCAGTACCACATCTCTGAAAGGAAAAGCAGAGGGTTAATAATTCTGTTGAAAACATCCTAGAACATTTGGTTTAACAAACAGGGAGCGCCCAGGGTTTGGAGGAAAGGTAAATGAGATAAAGGATATAAAAATGCCCAGTACAGTGCCTCATACATAGCAACACTAAATGAAAGTTAACGATGATCATCAGCGCTGGTGCTCGACGGGGAAAGAGTCCCAGAACTTCAGAATATTAAGGATACCCTCTGATTGGCTCTAAATGTCTCCATCATATAGCTATAATCCCTCAACATGTCTAACGAATCCCTAATTAATTTGCAAATCTCTTGGAATAAAGTTACTTAATTGCTGTTTGAGATACGATTTTCTATTTTCCACACTAAATAACAGTGTTAAGACATTTTTGAAATCTACTCCTTAATTCGAGTTGTTCCAGAAATGAACAACTTTATCTTTTATGATTTTAGGAATTTCAGGCAATTCCCCTCTTGGCTCTCAACTTTATATACTAAAGCATCACTCAGAATTTTTTTTTTTTAGTTCTTTACCTCGGGTCATTTTAAGAGTCCTTACCCAGACCTTTCCAAGCTCCATTGTTGTTTCTTCAAAGTGTCCTCAATTACTGCTCGTTTTGGTTTAGGTGACGGTGGACGAGTGCGCCTCCACTGTCTCTCTAGCACTCATTCCCTTTCTTTCTGGCCACCTGCGCTCTCCCAGCCAGCCCGTACAGCTCCTGTAGGCTTTGCCAGGTCTTTGCGTTGACTCCATCTCCCTGCCCAGGCCTGTGGTGAGGTCCATCAGGGGAGGCAACTGACCCCCACTGGGCCAATCATTCCCCTCCCCTGGGAATTCTGGATTGGGCCCCGAGGGAGCCCCGAAGTCTTTGGGTGGCTGAAGGATTTGTGAAGAGCCATTTCTGCATCACATGATGAGAGCCACGGAACAGGATGAAAGAAAGATGTATCCATCAAAGACAAGAGACAACCAAATCCCTCATTCCAGTGATTTCTAAGGCCTGCCACATTACTACCCTTAGTTTCAATGTGACATCCCAGCTTCCTTTTAATAAAATTCCTTTTTATGTAAACTAGTTCAGGGAAGTCTTCTGTTACTTATAGCTGAAAGAGTGGACTCCAAAATGTGGGGATGTCACCTTGAGGATCATCCTTGGTATGCAAACATTCTGTAATGCAAAATATCTGCCACCTGTGCTAGTATTCACTCTCTATCAAGTGTAAAAGAAAGGTCAATAAAACAGTCGTGAAATAAAGAGAACAAAAATGGATGAATAAAAACATATTTATCCTAACATCATTGCAGATATACACTGCTGATGGGAATGTAAAATGGTGTAGTTGCTATGGAGAAGTACAGTGGCTCCTCAAAAACTTTGAAAAAGAACTACCATATGATTCAGCAATTCCACTTCTACATATATAGCCAAAAGAATTAAAAGCAGGATCACAAAGAGCTATCTGCACACCCATGCTCTTAGCAGCATTATTCACAATAGCCAAGAAAGGGAAGCAGCTTGAGTGTCCACCAACGAATGAACGAATGAGCAAACTGCGGATGGCACACAAAATGGAGTATTATTCAGCTTAAAAAAGGAAAGAAACCCTGGGACATGCTATGACAGGGCTGAACCATGAGAACTTTATACTGAGTAAAATAAGCCAGTCACAGAACGATAAATACTGTATGATTCCATTCACATGAGGTATACCTAAAGCAGTCCAATTCACAGAGAGAACACAGAATGATGGTTGCCAGGGGCTTGGGGGAGAGGGAAATGGGTACAGAACTGCAGTTCCTCAAGACTAAAAAGATGTGAAGATCTCTTACACAACAAAGTGAAGGTACTTAGCACTACTGAACTATATACCCTTAAAATAGTTATGATGGAAAATTTTATGTGTTTTTTTAACCACACTAAAAAAATAAACTTTTTAAAGTATGGATATAAATTTCAAAGATAATTACTTTAAGTCATGACCATAAACAAGAAACAAACAAAAGACTTGTGAAGTGGGGTGTCTGGGTGGCTCAGTCAGTTAGGCACCCCACTCTTGCTGTCTGCTCAGGTCATGATCTCAGGGTCCTGGGATGGGGCCCCATGTCTGGCTCCACGTTCAGCGGGGAGTCTCCTTGTCCTTCTCTCTCTGCTCCCCCCACCCTCTCTCAAATAAATAAATAAATAAATAAATAAATGAACTCTTTTAAAAAAAACTCATGAAGGAAGGAAGGTGTGGATAGAAGGTAAATACTAGGGGTCTTTGGGGCAATGGAACTATTCTATAATTTGACTGTAGTGGTGGATACTTATACGAGTGACAAAACTGTACAGAAATAAATACAAACACACATAAATTAGTACATATATACAAGTAATACTGGTGAAATCTGAATAAGACTGGTGGATCAATGTCAATATCATGGTTTTGATATTACACCGTGGTTTTCCAAGATGTCTTCATTGGGTAAACTGGGTAAAGGGTACGTGGGTTCTCTCCCCATTATTTCTTACAAATGCATGTGAATCTACAATCATCTCAAAGTAAAAAGTTTATTTTTTTTAAAAAGGGAGGATACACAGAAAACAGATTTAAAAAATAAAATCATTTTCAGCCTGCCAAATTCTTAAGAATTAACACTTAGACTGGACACAGTTAATGTGAAATCATTTGAAGGAAGGGACATTGGGTATATTTTCTAATGTGTGCTGAAGGACCACGCATGTTTCTCAATGGCATAAGAGACAGATGCTGGTCATTAAGGAAAAGTAGACAAAGCTTGCCTTTTAAGGTTTTTCTCTTCCAGCTTTCAGCAAAATGTTTTCATGCTGTCACTCCCAAACAAATAGCTTCAATTTATAATAAATGCATTAAGGACAAAAAAGCTTAACCTGCTCAGAAGATATTTCTATTTTAAAAGATGTAATTTTTCAAGGTAGGAATATAAGGGAATAATAATATGGAGGCATTTTCATCAAGGGAGCTCTGAGACAAGAAAGGCTCCATAGCAACAGGCACATACTCAATCATCTGCCTCCTATCCCAGGCCCACTTCTGATAACTTACCAATCTACCCCAAAAAAGCACTTTTCTTTGTTGTCCTTGAAATACAAATAGAGTGAAAAAATTCTTGACTATATTTAAGACTATGAGTGAGGGATTATTTGACATTATAAGTAATGGTGTTTGCTTAGTGAATACATAGTTATTGGCCTCAACAATAACTCTGCTTGAGCATTTGGAAATGTAAATTTTAAGTTTAATGTTTTATAAGGCCCCAAGATATCAAAGAATTATACAACTAAAATAAAACCTCAAATAGTCCTCTAGTGACCAGGCCAGAGTTATCCCTTAAGCAGACTGCGCACAAACTACCTAAACTCAAATTTATTTTCATATTTCTTTTTTAAAAAATCATATTATTTATCTTAGAAAAAACTGAACTCTGCTAAGAATATCTATAGCTAACTTAGGTTTCATGTTATCATTATGATTGTGAATTACCTGATGGATACGCACAACCTGGACCGTGGACAGGGCCTCTGAAGATCTTGATCTGCTCTGCATAACAAAGTCAGTCTTAGGCCCTGCTCACTACTGGCAAACACAGGAAACCTACCAGGTTAGTTCAGGTGAAGAGAACTGCAGGATCCTAAGAGCAGAGCAGGAACAGATGTCCAAGAGCCCTAGAGGAAGCACAGGTGCTAAGAGGACGGGCGTGGAATACCAGCTCTTCTTCAACTGTCTAGGCCATACAGCTACTGTGGACATCCACAGGCCCAGGGGTCCCTGTCCACCCACAGCCCACCTAATCCAAGCTTCCAGCAATTGAGCAACAGTGAAAGGAAGACAGGCCAGAGGGAGACTTTGCTAGTGCTAAACAGGATGCAAAACAAAATTTAAAAAATACAATGCACGAAACAGAAAACTCTGAAGCGTGCCATCCACACACTCGCCTTAATTCATTGGAAGGAAATATTCCTTCTTCCTGGGCACATCTCATAATGTCCTCTGGTTATTTTTCCCTATTCAAAGCTGTCCATAATCTTCATTCTAAACAAATTTTGCCTGGATTGTTGCACCGGAGAACTGTGATGTGTCCCGGCCTCCAAACAATACTAGAAATAGCCTTGCTCCCAATCTGTATCTCTCATCAGCTCTCGTTGCCAAGTTGCTCAAAAATTATCTTCTGTGCTTTTGTGTTTAATCCTTGAACAAAATTATTTATGAGAAATGGTTTTCTCTAGTTGTCTAAAATGTATTAAATGAGTAAAAACAAGTCAAAGAATGGTACATACTGTACGATCCTATTTGCTTAAAAATGTTTGTTTATATACAGAAAAATGCACAAACAGAAAACTTGTCAATGGCTATTTTTTAAAGATAAGAGATGGGTGATATTATTTTATACATTCTTTACTTTTTATTTTTCAGCACCTGCCTGAAATATGTATTTTTTTAATTTTGCTGCAAACATACTGTCTTTAAAAAGTAGCTTTTCGTTCTAAAATTCATCAAAGAAGATGCTCTACTAGGCCAAAGGTTCTCAACCCAGACAGCTCACAAGAATTACCCTAAACTAAAGCAATCTCTGGAGGTGGGATCTAAACAACATTTTTGTCAACTCTACCAAATAACTACAACATGCAATAGAAATAGAAATCACTACTCTAGGCTAAAGTTACTTAAGAGATACTTACTAAAAAATCCAAAAGTCATAAAAACAACAAAACCATCTCATTAGACAAACACTAAATGTATTTTTTAATCCTCTAGAGAATATCTCACACTTCTGATAAAATAATTAACAGATACTGAACGCTTACTGTGCGCTCAATATAGTCTAAGCCTCAAGCTGAAAATACCATGCCAGTAAGACCATATGTTGAAGCTGTTCATGATTTCTAACTTCTTTACAGAAATGGTCCGCATTGTATGTTTAAATAGTCTGTGTTCACATTAGATTATCTCAAGCTTTGGTCTTATTCCAGCAAATCTA